AGAAGACTCAAGCAATCACGGCATTTCCAGTGCCAACAGACAAGAAGACCGTGCGAAGATTCCTTGGACAATGTGCGCACTATCAACTCCTCGTTTGTGATTTTGCAAGGATTTTCGTACCACTCACAAAGCTTGCAAAGGACGCCCAGAAGTTTGAATGGGCCGAGGAGCAAAAGCAGGCATTCGACGAGCTGAAGCGACAACTCCAGACTCCTCCAGTTCTTGGAAACTTCGATCAAGATGCGGAAACCGAGATTCATACGGGTGCAAGAAACGCAGGACTTGGCACGGTACTGGTTCAAGTGCAAGAAGGCAACGAGCAAGTCTTCGTATATGCGAGTCGGACACTGTCCAAAGCGGAGACATTACTCCACGACTGGAAAGGAATGTCTTGCAGTCGTCTGGGCCATCACAAATTTTTGCCCGTACTTGTACAGGAGCCCGTTCCGCGTTGTGACGGACCACCACTTGCTCTACTGGCTTGCGAACCTAAAGGACCCTTCAAGATGCCTTGCTTGATGGAGCCTCCGACTGCGGTCTGACTGTGGTCTACAAGTCAGGCCGCAAGCACAGCAACACCGATTGCCTGTCCAGAGCCCCTGTCGAGACATCTCCCAGTAGAAACGACGACGATAACGACGAGTGCTTTCTTTGCAGAGTGAACACCGACGACAAGGCACAATGTCAAAGAGACGATCCTGAGTTGCGCGCGCTAATCGAACACCTAGAAGGACGAGGGGGTATTATTCCCCGAGTTTTCTCGAGATCCCTGCCGACCTTCATCCTCTGACAAGGAGCACTTTACAAGGAGAACTTCAAAACAGCAGCTCGCCATCCCTTCCCACCTTAGAGTAAAGATCTTCCAAGTCTGCCACGATGACCCGATGTCCAGACACCTTGGTTACAACCATACGCTGTCCCGAATTCGTGAAAGGCATTACTGGCCCAAGCTCCCAAAGACCGTTCACCTCTACACATGATCGTGCTACGAGTGTCAGTGACGCAAGAAACAACTGACGAAGCCGGTAGGTTCCCAGCAGGCGATTTTTCCCCCGACTGCACCATTCCAGCAGATTAGAATGCATCTACTTGGTCCTTTCCCACCATTGGTACAAGGGAACAGATGGATAATCGTTGCCACAGGTTATCTCATGCGGTACGTTGAATCGAAAGAACTTCCTTCAGGGACTGCTGTGGAAGTCGCCAAGTTTTTCATTGAGTCCATCGTCCTCCGGCACGGTGCTCCCGAAGCTCTGACCTCAGACCGTGGATCATTGTTCATCTCAGCCACACCATCCATGTCACACTACGGCATACCACCCTCAGACCAACGGGCTGACGGAGAGACTCAACAAGACCATCACTGACATGATCTCCATGTACGTCGACGTGGAGCACGAGACATGGCACGAGGTGTTGCCGTACGTCCCATTTGCCTACAACACGATCGTGCAAAAGACCACCAGATGAGAGGCTGCCCCACGCCTCTCCCAAGCTCTTTGGAAAAGCAAGTACCATTGTCTCTGCCGGAGGCGATAATACTTGTTTTAACATTTAAAAAACTAAATTCCAGGCAAAAAAATGCAATAAAAAGAAAACAAGCCTGCAGAAGGCAGGATATAAATGCTAAAAGACTCGATGTAGGTCATAACAATTGCAATGGCAATTGTTAAGGCACTTAATTCGCTCTTGCCCTACAAAATGAACAGAGAATGGAGAGAAAAAGGAGCTCGGGCACCTTACAATTGTGGCGTTGGAAGCAAAAAGAAAGCAGAAGCAAGACGAAGGGACTGATGAAAAAAGAAGTGGCCCACTCACTTGCACTAGTGACGGCAGCAAAATGGTGTTTTTGATGCTCAGAAGCATTTTAAGGAATGCCTGGTGGCTTGTAAAAAAGAAAAGGCCATACATAAAAGACAAAAGAACATCTACATGTTGTCGGCGATGTGTTGTCCTATGGTGGTAACAGGCGGCAAAATTCAAAGGCACACAGACTCTATTGAGAAAGCGAAGCTTCAGAGACCGACAATGCAAACTCAAGGGTCGCCTGGCCACCGGGTTACCTACCGAGCGCCAGCCCGGCTCCACGGTAGCTCCCTACTTGGGTGTTGCCTCAACATTACGAGGGGATGATGAGGAGGGTAACCAGGGATGTCTTTTCGTTTCTTGTTAAAGGAGAGCCCAACCCACATCAAAGAAGCCTCGCATTCTTTCTATTTGTTTAAAGAACCCTTTCTGTCTTTTTTTGTCTTCAATACTTTCACCGTCTTCGTTTCCTTAAAGGGACCATGAAATGATTTTAAAATCGAGTTTCATCCACCGCACGTCGTAAAAGGTGCGAAAAGAAACACAAAAACACAAAAATAGGGAGCCAAAAAAAATTATTTGCTATAGAACTTTTAAAAGAAAACTGGACTCTTTTGCGCCTTCCTTCCTTCGCCTGTTCACTACGATGCATCCGCAGAAATGGAGCACGTCAGCCAAATCCAGGTCGCCTATTGGGTAAGAGCCTACCTCACCAGCACCGCGATCGTAAACAATAAATAGCCGGCGAATGTTTCCTAAAAGTTTTGTTAAATAATATTCAGATCCACATTTTGTAGCATAATTAGAGATGTGTGGCGAAAATTGCCAAATTTGATAATGCTGAGAGCCAAGCGCCATCTATCGTGTGGTAAACGAAGCAACTACTGCGCGTGCGCAGTAGGGCAGGGCCGACAGTTATTTGGGTGGCGGCGACCGACAAACATTTATTTTCTTTGTTTTCCTTCCTCTCAAAACTCTGACTGACTGAACGTTTATTTTTCTACGTGTTCTTCCCGCGTGTGCCGACTTCAAGCAGCAAGAAAACAGTACTTAAAACAGACCACGACGAACAAGAATGCTGGATCCACCGACTCCGATGAAGCGAGCTGCTCAGAATATAGGCCTAGCAGGCATTCCGACTCGGCGCTGCGTTGCTTCGTCGCAAGACCGTCTAATTACGACCGGCTGGCGTGCTAAATGGAATATGCCCGCGTGACCCTTGTGGACCCTTCCCGTATTATAGTTTGATCACTGACCTCAATTCTAGATTAAGAGGTGAGGTCAATCTCCTCCCCTTGTTTTCCGAGGCAGTGTTGACGAACGCTCGTCGAAAAGGGACTCTTGTCGATTCTATCTTCTTGTTTTGTGTGATATAGAGCTGAAATAAACGCCGTATGGATTACCTCCGTAACACGGTATGTACACTTTGTTATTGGTATGCCATTTTTATTCTGACAGACTGCACGTCACTGTCGAGCCATAACAGTTCGTGGGAGGTATACGTACAACTCCGGTCCAACCTTTCTTTGCTGAGTGTCGCGTCAGTATCGAGTTGCAATCGTAAAAGAACGGTCCCGAAGCGCTTACAAACAGCGCGAATACAGCACTTCCATCAAGCGCGCGCGTCCGCTCCGAGTGTAAACAGGTATTTACATGGCTCTTGCTGACACTCGTAGTTCAAACGTATCTTTTTTAACGTCGGCTCGCTCCTGCATCTCCGAGGCCGCGAAAAACGCCATCTACGTCGCTTTGCAAACGACTGACACGGGCCGGCCCTTCTGCCAACAATGACAGGGTGGTTGACTTCTGGAGTCTTCACCGGAAGACTCGCTGCACTTCCCAACAGGCATACCGGCGTATGGGACTAGTCCCATGCTGTCGCTGTAGCGCAACATATCTCACTAAATTTCGCTCAGCTGCGATGCGGCGATGAGAGGCGCCGATTCAGGAAATACGTCGGTGTCATCAGCGCAGTAAAACCTACCGGCGCACCCCTACTCGTTGCCGTTAACACTCCCATTCTACTACTGCCGAGAGAACTTCCGGTTCCGGAAACGGCCTACGTCACGGCTTGTTTTGCGGTTAGTTGGAGAGAATGAAAAAGTCAATATTTCAATAATTTTTTGTGTAGAAGTTAATAAACCGAGACGAAAACGGATGCCTGTTCGGCATTCAGCGAACATTGACGGTTTAATGTAAAAGTTATCTGGAAAAAGTAAAAAGGTCATTTCATGGTCCCTTTAAGCTTGAGCATTTGAGACACGAAGAAGTTAATACTGTTCCAGCAATATCACAAACAAAATGATAAAAATGAGTAATTGCTACATTTGTGCTAGGACGGAGATATATGCATAGCGTAATGTTCGCGATCAAAACTAACAAGATGACAAAGCTAAATTAAGCATACTTGTATATTTATTAGGCTGCTCTTGTATCTAGAGCTTGATTCTCATAACCATGTCACACAGCAAAATGACCTATTTCAAATAATTTTTCGCTAGACGAAATCGCATTTGTAACCTGATAAGGCGTCCCTCCGAAGGAGGGGGGGGTTTCTTGGGCCCCAGCCTCCCCGGGAAATTGTAAACTTCCCGCCTATGCCATCCGACCAAAGCACACCAGGGCACCAATGAGCACGACAACCACCGAAGTGTTAGAGTTTACAGAACAAATGGACGTGGTCTCATTAAGGGGGGCCGGATGCGAGCTTTGAGCTGCCTTTTCACTAGCGTCACCTAGCAGTGCCACCAGTTCTTGTACACCCAAGTCAAGCCTGGCCAAGAAGACGGCCAGAGTTTGAATCTGTTCTTTTTGGCGCATTTCGTAATGTGACGCCTCCGGCATATGCACCCGGATTACTTTATTCACAGTTAAAAAAATTCAAGTTTACGCTTTTATTAACTTGGCTCATCCAGCGTCACCACCCAGAAGCCACTCTAGGCAAACGCCCGGCCCTAGAGCTCACATCTGGGAACTATTCAACACTTGACAGAAATGAATGACATTATCTCACTAGTCAATGAAGACCAAACAGGTTTAGGTTTTGATGAGGAATGATGTGATGCCCTATTACTGCAGATGTATAGTACTTGACCATGCTAAAACTGCAACTTCAACTGCAAACTTCACAGCTTCACCAGCCCCATGGGTTCGATTTTGTTGCCTTATGCTAGTTCCCATCTGTAAACACTGACCTTTTTGTTTGGAGGCCGATGGCGTAGAGGTGCCTTCACCACAGGCACCATTGGCTAAGATTAAATTGCTGGTTTCCATGCCCTGTAATAGTAAAAATATATATATATAAATACAAAACTTGAAAGTATAAAACAGAGAGGACGAGGACGAGAACAGGACATCTTTCTGAAAGATGTCCTGTTCTCGTCCTCGTCCTCTCTGTTTTATACTTTCAAGTTTTGTATCTATTAACCAACACGCTCGTTTTCAATTGTAATATATATATAAATATATACATGTACACATATATGGCCAAATAGTGCGAACAAACCCTCATACTTGTATTAGTAATTACTAAGTTGGAGGTCTCACTCACGCCCTTGAACAACAAGATATATCTCAAACTAAAAGTCAGGAAACAAAAGAAAGTGCGGCAAAAACAACCGCACTTACTGTTTCAGCGTCACCTTCCCGATTTCCGTTGGCAGACCTTAAAGGTGCAAAAAAGCGTAGTATGCTCGGTTGAAAACTGCCATTCGGCCGGATTGGTGTGTTCTCCCGCCGGTCCTTTCCGAAGACCATGATTCGTTGGCAAGGTTTAGGGCCTCAGAACCTACCTCTCTGCTCAGAGGAACCCCCGCTATCGAATGAGTTCGTGGGATTGGCGCGGCTTTTAGTTATCTTTGGATTGGATCTGGATTCTACTTGTATAGGTAGAGAGAGTTCATGTTCGCCGGAACATCCGAACCGATTAAAGAGGTCGATAAAAAAATCCACAAATAGGCGCGCTTTAATTTTTTTAGCTGTGCTTCGCTTAGCCGAGATTACTAACTCATCTAAAATCACGACAACTAATTTTGAATTTGTGGATACTAACCCAATTGAATCCGATCCAATCCAAGCTGCGGAACGTTGCTGTCTCGGGTTTTTCAAGTACACCTTAAGGTCAGTAAGTATTTCTAAAGGTATACTAGTTCTGTTCTTCTTCTCATCTATTTTCAGACATTTACGAATGTCTAGGTGTGAGCGCCCCAAGAGCATGTCGCGTATTGAAAGAACGCGCATTTATTGTTGACGTTAACTTGCTGCGGTAAGACGTGAGGTCAGTCTCATTTTGGCCGTTCTACCGCAAAACTCGGTTACTCAACCTATCGCGCTGCAATATACTGCAGAGATGCAAGCAAGTGGATCGGCTGTCGCCTCCCATTGCCTGTCTGAAATCGTGACAACTGCCGGTAGAATGCTCACTTTCTTATTCTATCGGCATCTCGTGAAAACAAGTTTCGTGAAGACACGTTTGGATCCCAGACGAGGCACTTTTCCCAGCACTTTCGGTGTTGCTGGTGAGTTGTGCCTAGCTTTCTGTAGATCAGGGGTCTCGAAACCCCGACCCGCGGGTCCGATCCGGACCGCAGTGGCGTTCCCGCCGGCCCGCGTCTTTCGTCGTCTTTCCAGGGACTCCCGGCCGTGTATTTCCAAAACATGGCCTTCCCAGATCTGCCGCGGAGCGGCGTCCGCTGATTGGCCAGATTAGCTCCGCGCAAAATATTGACGCCACGCCATCAGATGCACATGCGGCGCCGGTCGCCCGCAGGAGCCGCCGCTACATTACGACGGATCCTTGGGTGTCGTGGTGACTTGGTGGACGCGCTGTTGTGCAGTACGTGTTGTTTCATCTGCCACATCTGCCAGTGCGTATCCATTGAATTATTTCGCGTATCACGCGCATAAAAGTCGGTCGCAGAAGTTTCACATCTTGCCGATGTCCACAGTCCAACTGCTCCAACCTCGGCGATTCTCTATCCAAGCTCGAATAAAGTAGGCCTCGCTGCTGTGTTCCATAATTGACCATATGCGAAATTGCTTGGTGGTCTGGCAGCACTGTGCACGCAGCCGTCTTGGTAGTGCGAAGTATCTTGAGTTTCGGTTTCTCAGCATTTCCAGGGTATGGACGTTTTTGCACTAAGTGCGATACGGAAACTTTATTGTTTTCTTACTTCCGATCAGCCGACGTGGACAGAAGACTAGGCCGTCATGCTTTTCATCTCTGAGGACACTTTTAATTCTTTTTTCGATGCGAATACGCATGAAGTCGTGCTGTTTAGCGGTAGACCGCTCCAGACAATACATGCAACTCGAGGTTAGTTGTTGTTTTTTTGTTTTTTTTTTCTTGTTGTTACTGTCAAGCTTTTTGGTGGAAAGCTCTGTGTCTAAAGAAAACTGTTCCCTGGGCAATGTTTTTCAGGCGTTGCAAAGAGCTCAAATTGGTTTCAGATAGCATTTACCTCAAGCACAGTTGACAGATGTTGCGCTATTAATGAAGATTTGTTCAACCCTGGCAGAATAACTGCATTGCCCGAGTTTTGCAATAAAGAAAATACTTGACCTCGGCTGTGACAAAAGAAAAAAGAAAAGGAGATTGTGAAATGGAGGTGGTACTGCTCGTGTCGCTCCACTCAACGTCCGCAACTTAAGTTTTCGCCCCCACCGACATCGGAGTTTTGTCGAAGTGGCATTCGGCAAAAAAGACATGAAAATCCCGTCTCTGTGATTGTTGAGCAAAGAGACACGTCATCCGTGTCTGTTCTGTTTTCTAATCTACATGACCACGCTTTAAACTTTCAAGTATTTATGTCAACAAACTCTCCTGTTTAGTCTTAGAGGTGTTTTACAAACCTTGTTTACCGACATCAGGTCAAATGTAGAGAAATTGCGGCAAAGTAGTGAGATTATTATCTGGCTTTTCAAAGTAATTAATTTTTTTCTAATATTTGACATTAAAATGAGAGCTCTCTGGTGCTTTCAGCTTTTGTTGTTTGTTAACCATGCACATCAATTGCTATTGGCGGCGTAGATTTATAAAACACTCATCTTTTTGCCTTGCTTAGCAGCCTGACATTATGATAGTTCAATGCGAATGATGCGTCAAAAATGCAAGTCAACCTCTTAACACCAAAATTCCATAACAAAAAAAAAAAACAAAAAAAAACGCCTTGGTGGCTTTGAGGCGAGAGTGCCGGCCTACGGATCCCCAGGTGGCGGGTTCGAATCCCGACCGAGGTGCCCGCAATATGACGGAGGCTTATTGCGGAGAAGGCGCCGTGTAACCGAGCTTTTGGTTGCATGTCAAAAGATCCCCAGGTGGTCTAAATTAATCCTCAGTCCTCCGCTGGGGTGTGCCAGATGCCCGTCGTAGGTTTGGCACGTAAAACCCCCAAATTCGACTTTTTTTTTTGGCCATAACAAAAAAAAAAAAAGAAAAAATAACCAAGAAAATGAAAAAAAGAGAAAAATCACGTTGCTTTGCAAGTTTTAAGTTACGGAGGCTGAGCATGTCTCGGAAGCCGCAAGAAGTGAGCTAAAATGGCGAAAGATAGTGACAGTTGCGCTGCTTGCTCGACTGCGTCTTGTACAGAGGTGCGTCTTATATACTAATTTTTACTTAGAAACTTGCGAAACGTGAGGGGTGCATCTTATACAATGATGCATCTTATTCACCGGAAAGTATAGTTCTGTATTAATACCGTATTTTCCAAGCTATAGTCTGCGGACTATACATGTTTAAAAGTTGAAATTTCTGGCTGTGCGGACTATCTACGCGTGCGGACTATACAGGAATTATGTTTTTCAATATCGTTGATTATGACGAGACGGGACGGATTTTGTGAATAAAAGAGTATGTTATTGATAATTTATGTATATTATAGGCTTTTTTTGTGAGCTAAGAAAACATACATGTGTCAAGGTGTGCCGCGATTGAGAAGAATTTCGTGTCGACTAAGCACCAGGTGCGGACTATGCACTGGGTGCAAACTATCTAAGCAAAAACTTTCATTTTTGACCCCAAATTTGCCTCTGTGGACTATACACAAGGTGCGGACTATAGCCCGGAAAATACGGTATGTATAAAACACACTTTTTGCCAAAATGTTCGGCAGTGTGTCTTATACAACAGTCATCTTATATGTATATTTTATCTCTTTTTGGCAAACTGCAGGAACTCTTGTTGATGCTGATTACATCAGTCATTTGTTTTAGCTATTATGACTCCTCAATGCAAATGATCCATCATACATGCAATTCACCCTCTTAAAACCAGAATTTCATAACAAAATAAAATCAGGGAAACGAAAAAAATAAAAAAATCCTGTCGCTTTGCGAGTTTTTAAGTCACAGAGGCTGAGCAAGTCTCGGAAACCGCAAGCGGTGAGCTAAAATGGCGAAAGATAGTGACAGTTGCGCTGCTTTTCAACTGCGTCTTGTACACAGGTGCATCTTATATACTAATTTTTACTTAGAAACTTGCGAAAGGTGAGGGCTGCGTCTTATATAACGATGCGTCTTATATACCGGAAAGTATGGTTCTGTATTAATATGTATAAAACACACTTTTTGCCAAAATGTTCGGCAGTGCGTCTTATACAACGGTCATCTTATATGTATATTTTATTTCTTTTTGGCAAACTCTGCAGGTTCTCCTGTTGATGCTGATTGCATTAGTCTTTTTTTGGCTATTATGACAGCTCAATGCAATTGACTCATCACAAATGCATGTCAACCTCTTAAAATCAGAATTAGATAACAACAAAAAAAGTCAAGAAAACGAAAAAAAGTAAAAACATCACGTTGCTTTGCGAGTTCTTAAAGAGGCACTGACACCCCAAAGGTCGTAATCTTTTTTATTTTCTAAAACGATGCAAGTTGTAGTCATAAACACGCAAAAAAAACCGCATCGCGAAAAAAAATTTCCCCGCGCTCGCGCGCACCTTTTTATTTTTGGCGTTTATATTTCCCGCGCTCACCTCCTTGCTTCTTTTGATTGGTGACGTCAAAAATCAGGAAATTTAGAAGCTTTGTAGGCGACATTTCTATAGCATTTAATAATGGCAATCGTAAAACATGTTTTTTAACGCAATGACAAACGCATTACGGCCTTCCTTTTTGAAATACCAAAAATCAGATTTCGGTGTGATGTCGCTTCCTGGATTTGTGTTTTCCCTCGGAAAACTTGGCTGCGCTCGAGCAGAGGCTTATCGCCGAGTCGGGGAACAAACCGGTTTTTCCCTGCACCGGCTCCCTTCTATCCCGCCTGCTCATTTCCTCCTCTCTTCGGGTCGCAGTAGCAACGGCGCTTTGCTTCACGGCGTGGTGCGGAGGTCCGAAAGAAAGTAGAGTCGCAGGAGACCGCAAAATTTGACTCACCGCACTGGCGCGGATCGCGCGGGAACTTCAAATTTGGCATTTGGAAATTGTTTTTTTAATTCACAAATACTGAATTCCCAAGTTTTGAATTTTGAGGGTAATGTCCCGGCATCATTTTCAATCGTTTCGGATAATGAAATAAATTACGATTTTCATGTGTCAGTGCCCCTTTAAATCGCGGAGGCTGACTCGGAAGCCGCAAGTGGTGAGCTAAAATGGCGATAGTGATAGTTGTGCTGCTTGCCCGACTGAGTCTTGTACACAGGTGCGTCTTATATACTAATTTTTACTTAGAAACTTGCGAAAGGTGAGGGGTGTGTCTTATATAATGATGCGTCTTATACACCGGAAAGGATAGTTCTGTATTAATATGTATAAAACACACTTTTTGCCAAAATGTTTGGCAGTGCGTCTTATACAATGGTCATCTTATACGTATATTTTGATTTCTTTTTGGCAAACTCTGCCGGAAGTCCTTTTGATGCTGATGACATTAGTCCTTTTTTTGGCTATTAAGTCTGCTCAATGCAAATGATGTGTCATAAATGCAAGTCAACCTCTTAAAGCCAGAATTCAATAACAACAAAAAAGTCAAGAAAAAAAAAAAAAAAAAATTACTACGCTTTGTGAGTTTTTAAGTCACGGAGGCTGAGCAAGTCTCGGAAGCCGCAAGCGGTGAGCTAAAATGGCGAAAGATAGTGACAGTTGCGCTGCTTTTCGACTGCGTTTTGTACACAGGTGCGTCTTATATACTAATTTTACTTAGAAACTTGCGAAAGGTGAGGGGTGCATCTTATATAACGATGCGTCTTATACACCGGAAAATACGGTTCTGTGTTAATATGTATAAAAACACACTTTTTGCCAAAATGTTTGGCAGTTAGTCTTATACAGCGGTCATTTTATATGTATATTTTATTTCTTGGCCCCTTTAAGGTTCAGCTGCTGACAAAATAGGGCTCTCCCAAGATAAGGCATGGTTAGCATGTTCCATACGAGCATGACGAGCACCGGAGATTGTGCTTCGCTCGCTCTACAGCCGTGGTCACACTGCCAATGCATCGTTCAAAAAACATTTTTCAGACACTGCTCGAGGCATGTTCCTTGTATTGTGGTCCTGTCTCTTTGGTCATACAAAAGACATGTTCAAAGCATACATGAAGCAAACATACTTTAAACATGCTTGATACTTGTCCACGGATAATGCTGTCACCGTGTCTGAACAAGCAGCACGTCTTGTTTGATGCATGAGCATTGTGACTGGCTTTACAATCGAAGGAAGTATGAGTGGCACGAAATGGAACTTATTGTTAATCTCGCATGGAAACTTTGAAGCTGCTCCCGCCGATTGGCCACTGGCTCGTACAAAGGTGCGTGGTTCATGTTGCAGCAATGGCACTCTTAAGGTCTCCTTTCACGGACCTGACCTCGAGCTTCGAGAACTATGAAGCCGTCAAGAGGTGCAGGGACTTCAACATGCAGCTGTCGCTGTGCAAGGAGGCATACGGCCTGCATCGTTCCGACAAGATGTGCCGCGACGAATACGAGGATTTCAGGGAGTGCATCTTCGGCTTCAAACAGGCAAGGACCGAAGGCTTTTTTACCGGTACTTTGCGATCGATGTAGGTTGACGGGGGAGGTAAAGGCATGCTCCGCTCTACTCCCGTCGGGCCTGCACACTTCATTCTTATCGGAAGGACAGTCTTCCTCGGAAACCCTGTTTTTGTAGGGAAGGTGTCTGCGGAAGGGTTTTCTCTGGGAAAATAGACTTCATGCTCTGTCTTGTTTGGAGATGCTTACTGCTGTGCCACCCTTTTGTGAGCTACCACATCTGTGGCACAGCACAATGGTGCATGCAATGGACACCGGTTGTTATATCGTAAGTAGTCATTTTCGAACCCGCTCAGCGAGGACTCAAAACTTCCAAGGCTGGCGATGCGAGAATGCGGATGATATTTGTATTATTCCCAGCTACGAAGAGGGAAACAGCTCCAAAAGTATGAAGGACAAAGAACGAGGAACACACAGACCGAACGCTGATTGGTACGATGCATTTATTTTCACAAATTAAAAAGTTTGTAACTACATTTTAGTTTGTTATTTCGCTAATAATGTTTTTTTTCGCAATCCCTGATGTCCGCCATAGCTGTCAGTTTTTTTCTGAAAAGTTCATTTTTTCCTCAACCAATCTTTGAATTCTTTTGCTGAAACGCGTGGTATTTGTGATCATATCATAGTTACAGAAGTTCAGTCACATCAAGTACTCATCTTCCATCACATCACGCGCTTCAGTGGCAGCTCAAAGTTATGATGAAGTTATATTTTGGCGCCTTCTGTAGCGGTTCCCATCTCCAAAAGAAACGAGGGAGTTGCAAGCTCCAGGCACATCTCCTACATGACACAAGCATCACTCTCCAGCTCAGTCTTTAGTCTGTGTAGGTGGCAGGTGATCCCGAAAATAGAACTGAAGCGAATGATACCGAGCCCGTTGGCTTTAATTTAATGTCGGTATGAAACGAGTCTTGACAGCATTGTCTAAAGCAGGCAAGGGACCGTTGAGATGAATGTCGGTGTGTGAAGCGATACAGGTCAATGTAAATAAAGACCGCAATAAAAGTAACCGATAAAGTTTTAAATATTTGCGAACTGTAGAAAGTAGTATATGTATTCTTTTTTTTATTTATTGTACCTTGAACAGGGGTGTAAGTGTTGTGCCATTGAGTGCCAATCCGCTTTCGCTCTGACATCCTGTTCGTTTAGGTAATTCTGAACCAATAGTGACTTTTAGCAAACTGTTGCCGTTTTGTGCGTACCACTATTAAGCATGCTTTTAATTAGAATCTTTAAAAGTTGCTTAGAAGTGGCCTTGAGAGTGGTGTCCCAGTTCTTGGTATTATCTGAATTTCTAAAATTAAACGGCAGTTGAGTACAGAGGGCTAGTCCCTTTGGTATCACATTCTGGTCAATGCATTTCCTGTAGAGAGAAGAATGTGAAACATACCTTAATTTCTTGTCTATAAGTTTTCGCACACGAAGAAACAAAGGGGTAAAAGTCTGGCCACCATATTGTCACCAAGTGAACTTGTGCGACTTGTTCTGCCGAATTCGCTGAGATCGGCGGGTGCTGTCGCGATGAGGTGGTGGATTCCGTGAGGTACTCGGCTTGGGAGGCACAGGGGAAAGGTCAGTGGGTGTTGTGTTGGACTGAAGCAGTGTATCCGGTGCGACGTCTGGCTTCGGAGGCACAGGTGGGTGGTCCGAAGACACAGCGGTAGGTTGGGGTGGAGAAATAGGTGAAGCGGTTGGCTTCGGCAGCACAGATGGGCGGTCGGTCGACGTTGCCCTGCGTTGGAGTGGTAGTCCTGCTGATGCATATGGCTTGGGAGGCACAGGAGGCTGGTCAGTGGATCCAGGACGAGTCAGCCTCAGCCGCGCTTGATCGTCAACAACGGGCTGAACGGCGTATGCCCCAAGGAGAGATGGTGACGAAGCGTTCATCGTGGACATACAGTAACGCGCCAGGTTTTCCGCTGTCGTCGAACATTGCGTGATGCTGTCCGAATCGGATCCTCCATTATGGAGAGTTGCCACGACCGGAGAAGGAGGTACTCAACTCGTCCCCGTGGTTGGCCTAGGGGCCAGGGTCCCAGCCGAAGACGGCAAGGAGCTTGCGACTGAGGCAAACTTCTTCACGCGCGTTTGAGCCATAACATCCTGTGGGTAGCCCCAAAAAGCTGGGGCAACTTTCCGGCCGCCAGAACCCTGAGGCAGTAGTGGATAACGTGCCTCAGGGTCTCTGAGATTTGCTTGACTCCGAATCGGCTGGGGTGCAGTCCGTCACTCGCTAGCACTCCATCTCACAGTGGGCGACAAATCCCACATCTTTGTTAACGAATGACAAGTACCACAACGGTTAATAGTGGAGCTTGTTGGTACATACTTGTATATATATTTGACAGCTTGAACCAGGGGAAGATATAGAGAAATTGAGACAGGAGAGAATAGACAGCTGACTACCAACGATTATTTAGTGGGAACTTCTTTTTCCTTGCGTGTTTTCAGACACCAACAAAAATTATTACATATTAAAACCTATTATACTAATATAATAATGCATGTGTATGTTTACAAAATTTTCACATTACCTAAACCTAAACTAATATTTTAAATTCACCCGCCACAAGCTCATACTGCCATATTCTGTACCGTGACGCACCGTAGATATTGTCTCTCCTTTTTGTGAATAGTGATGGACGGGGTGCTGACGCACCCACTCGCTTGTTCTTCGATAGCAAGCGCCTCGAGCATCTCGCGCGCATGAGTATTGTTATTGCTGGCTAGGATGGTTATGTCCTTGAACGCTGCACTGCAGTGGCAAGTCCTGCAATGAGCTGCAAGATGCCCTGCCGACGTTCCTTTAAGGGATGCTGCGTGCTCGCGGGCTCTGTCGTTAATGCATCGGCCCGTCTGGCCGATGTAGCACTTCCCGCATGAAAGGGGAATGTTGTAAACCACTCCTGTCATGCATGGTACATATTGTGTTCTGTGGGCAATGTCGCACGTTTTTTCTTTGCCTGTTCTGTTGTTAACTCGTCTGCACATGGAGTACGCTTTGTTAGGCGCGGAGCATACTACTTGGATCTCATTCCTCGCGGCGATCTTTTTCAATTTGTGCGTAATCCCGTGAATTTCTCTATATCTTCCCCTGGTTCAAGCTGTCAAATATATATACAAGTACCACAAATGGTGATTCAGCTCGCGGACACGGACATTAATTTCGCCTAGTGCCTGAGGATCGAAGTGCCTTTGGTAAAGGTCTGGAAGTCGGGGGGAATGCTTAAGAAGGCAGCCACGGCACCAGGTCTCGAAGAACGCAGAGGGCCAAGAAGCACATGAACTTGCTCGATGCATGCATAAATGCCGACTTGCTTGATGCATCCGACGACGAAGATGAAGATTTTTACGGATGGCGGCACATTGTCCAGAATTTGGAGGAAGTTTTCAAGCTTACATTTGGGTGCAGAACAATGGAAGATAAATTCCTCTGGGAGAGAGTTCGGAAGATGCTTCGTGAAGGAGTCTCCAGACTTCAATTAGGTGCTGAGTTTTATTATTTTTTTTTTGTATTGTTTCCGGCCAATTGTGTAATCTTTTTGTTCTGGAAAATATTGAATGTTGCCACTTCTTTGGCCAGTGTAATTCAATTGGTTTTATCTCTGCGACCATATTGAGACTTTTATTTCTAACCGTTTTGTATGCTTTAACTATTTCTATCAATGGGATTCTCTGTAGAGAGGTTATTTTTCTAAGTAACTGGGTGTTAGTAGTAGGTTTCCAGTATACTGGTGCTGTGTAGACTATTGTTCTCTCGATTGATTTTATACAGATGTCTCTGAATTGTTTAGGTTTGATTCCCCATTTTATTCCCAAGAATGTTGCCAATTTCATGGTGCTTTGATATATTTTAGATTTTAAATAGTTGGCATGCTGAATAAATTAAAGATTTCAGTCGAAGACGACTCCGAGTATCTTAAGTTCTTCCGTGAGTTTGAGGTTCTTATCTCCGAATTTCACTGTTGGTGGCCTTTCTTATAATCCTTTCCGATTGTTAGGTATTGAGATTTAGTTTTATTGGAGTTAACTTTTTTTCTTTGCTTCATTTGTCAATGATTGCCAGTGTTTTGTTTGCTCTCTGTTCAATTTCCAATCTAGTTTTCCCTCTATGATTGTGTTCCTTCCCGAATGTTTTCTCGAATGTGTGTTCCTTCCTCAAATTTGAGATCTAGTAAAGTAAAGATGAGGATGTTCCAGATAAGGGGACTTAATGGTGAGCCCTGTGGACTTCCTATTGGGGAATTTATTGCGATTTCTGTGGCTATTAATTTCTAGATTATTGTTCTTTCATTTCATACTGTTTGTAATAGTAGATAAATATTTTTTGGGGAGTTTGTATTCTTTTAGTTTCTGTAACACAAAAGGTATCCATACTGTATCGAAAGCATTCAATATGTCTAGTGTTATAAGAATTGATTTCTTCTTTGTAGCTATATTTGTTGCTGATCTTCCATTTGTGAATCCATATTGTTTATGATGTAGTAGGTTTTTGGAATAGAGATAGTAATAGGTTCGATTGTTTAGTAGTTTTTCTATGATTTTGCCAAAGATTGAATTTATACAGATGGGTCAATATGCACTCGTTTCGTGTAAATTTCTTGACTTTTTTGGGATTAGAAATGTCCCTGTTTCTTTCCACTGAGTTGGGTAGTACCCATAAGCTAAACATCCGCTGAAGATGTTGAGGAACAGTTTTTTGTGTTTATTGAATAATGCTTTTATTATTGCTGTGGTAATATTATCCGGGCCGGGTGTTATTCGATTGGGAATGTTTGTGATAACATTTTCTATTTCACTCATTACGAATGGCATATCATTTTCAGTTTCAGGCGGTTGTTTAACGTCCTCTTTGATTTCTCTTTGTTATTGTATTCATTTGGTTTGTCGGCTGGAAAGTGGGCCGTTAAAGACCGACGACCAGTTCGCGCTTTCCACTTTTCGCCCGCTTCCTCCTCTCCCTCCTACCG